GGCACGTGTTCGCTGGGCCTCTGGTGGGGTCCCTGGGGAGTCTGCCCGGGTCTGGGGGCGGCTCATGCCGGGGTTTGGTGGGGTGCTGGCTGGTTTTGGTTGTGGTTTCTTGGGATGCCATACTCGCTTGGACCAAAGCCAGTGGGGACCTGGGTGGTATTTGGGGTCACAGTTGGCCCTGGAGGAGGCCTAATCATTGACTAGGGGGCCCTGGGAATGGCCAAGATGGGGCGCATCAGGCACGGATGGCTCCTGGGAACCCCACCTGCCCCCGCTATTTCCAGCATCTGGGAGCCAGGGTAGCTGACAACTCAGTGTAGCCAAATTGCATGGTGGGACTTTGGTCCACGGGCTTGGCCCGCCCCAGGGGGACTTGCTGCTGTGGGAGCCGAAGGCCGGCCTCCCGCCTCCCACCGGCCTTGGGAATCCCCAAGGGGCCCAGGAGACCCCCCCCAACTGTGTACAGCAAAGCGCCAGGACTCAGAAGGGCTGGTGGAGTTTGGACCCTAAACTATTTGCCAGTTTTGTCAAGTGAGTCACCCATTTTTTTTCTTAATCATAGACTGAAACCCCCCACATCCTCCCCAGTTCCTTAATTGGCGCCTTCAGAGCCGGGCCGGGCTGGGGCTGGGGGTGCTCAGGACTCGGCGGGGGCTTGGTCTGTCTCTTGCTTTTAGTCGCTCCTGAGTTTGAGGGAATCTGATACATGTACCAAAAGGCACTTTTTTTTTTTTAACAGTGCTTCTGTTCTAAGAAATTCAAGTTAAGACAGAGTGCCTCTCGCTCGCCTGTAGTGCTCAGTCAGCTACCGGGGTGGGCGGCGGACCGCGGGGCCAGGAGTGTTCATGCCAGGCAGCTCAGCGTCGGGGGCTGGGGCGGGGGGGCCCCAGCACACCGCTAAGTGGCCGGCCGCGGGAGCCAGGAGGGCCAGCCGCCGCCTCCAGGCCTGCTCCTCCCGTCCGTCCGTCCGTCCGAGCGCTGCTCTCTCGCATCGGGGCAGTGAGGCCGGTTAGTCCTCCTCGCCGCCCCGTACATGTCCGCCAGCTTCTTGAACCTGGGCCCCCAGTCGTTCAGGTAGTCGTAGTCCTGGTCCCCGGAGCTGGACGAGTTCAGGGAGCTGACAGAGCCCGCAGTGGAGCCGCTTCCTTCGTAGTCGAAGACCAGCAGGGAGTCGTAGGGGGGCGCCGTGGGGTCGTTGTCGGCCGCTCGAAGCCCCTGGGGGTCAGGGAGACGCGGGTCAGGGTGGAGGGGGTGCCGCCCCCACTTGGGGCCCAGGAGGAGCTGGGGAGACAGGTCAGGGAGGTGCGGCTATACGGCCTGGCATACAGTAGGCGCTCAGGAAGTGCTCCCTGTGCCTCACCGGGAGGCATGCCAGAGAACTGGGTAGGGCCGTGGTGTTTGCACAATGGCCTGTGGAGGAGGGCTGGAGTTGTGGGGCGGAGGGCCGGGCGGGGCCTGCGGCGGGAGGCTGGCTCTTGATTCGTGACTGCTGCCTGTGGAATGAGACCCTGACGTGGACAGGCATCCGCGGCCTGGAGTTGTTGCCACAGCGACGCCCAGGAGCAGGGCCTGGCAGTGCAGCAGGTGTTGCTGGAACCCGCCCGCGTGTCCTGGCCCCCTCTCCTCCGGTGCACCTGCTGGGACCTCCATGGCCAGGGCCTGTGTCCTCTGCCCGCAAGGGCTCACGTGTGGCCGTTGGCTGAGGGCAGCGCCCCCAGAGACCGTGAATGGGACTGTGCTGGGGTTCGCTGGCCCAGGGTCCCAGCAAATGGCCCAGGTGCCCATGGCGGTGACTGTCTAACGCTGCCCTGGTCAGGGAGGGGCCCTGGGCCATTATTCGGTCCTGAGTGGTTTGGCCTTTACCTTTTTGATTTCCTGTAAGTGACTTAGAAGTGGGCTTCTCCTCGTGGACTGGGGAGGACGTGGTTTTGGGGCTTTTAAGAATTTATTACACTGTCAGTGTCGTCTAAGCTGAACCAGCTTTCGGGCAGCTGTAGAAATTCCATCTGCGGCCTGGGGTGCGGCCTGTTCTGAGCCGTGTCTGTATCTCTGCTGAACCACTTCCTGGTTCTATTCCATTTAAACTAATCTTTTTAAGGTCAGGTTCTGGCATAGGTGGACACAAAAAGTGTTGACAACCCTCATAAAATACAGCCCGTCTTAGAGAACAGCGGTGGAGCCCGGGGACCCACGCCCCAAGGGCGTGGCCGCCTCTGGGAGCGATGGGGAAGCCCGGGGTGCTGACCGCCTGGGACGCGGCTCACAGGGGACAGTCTTGGGTGCGGCCACACGCCCTGTCCCTGTTGTCCCTCTGCATTAGTGCAAAGGAAGGAGGGCGCCCAGGCAGGGGGCAGGCCCCTGACGCCCTTGGACGTGTCGGTTGGGCGTCTCAGGCTCAGCTGCCAGAGGAGGTCCAGCTTTTCTTGCAAAGGGGGAAGATCAAAGGTGGGGACGTTGCTCGCTGGGACTCTGAGCTACGTGGCCTCCAAACATCAGGACGGGTGCTGCAGGCACGTGGTCAGGTGGCAGCTCCGGAGGACACCCACCCCCCCCGCAATTCCCAGTGCCCTGTGTTGGGGGCAGCCTGGACCTGAAGCCAGCAACTTGCAAGCCTGCCTGGGCATTGGGGTGGAGTGCACACCAGGGAGGCCTCTCTGATCTGCAGCAGCCGCGGCCTCGGCTGGCCCTCACCCTCGGGGTGGCCCTCCCTCCCTTCCTGATTCTGCGAGGCTGCGGCCTCACGTTTCCGATTTCTTACTCCGCACCTGCCGTGGGCCCTGCCTGGGACGCGGTGCCTGGGGCTGGGGCAGAGGTCCCTTCCCAGGGGGATGCTGAGGGGAGTGCTTGGCCCCTGGCTGCCGGCTTGACAGGCCAGCTCTGCAAAGACCCAGCTCTGAACCCGCCTCTGTGCCCCGCCAAGTGGGCTTCCTGGAGCATGTGACTGCACTCTCACTTTTATCAAAGGGGTCTGTGTGGCCTCCCGCTGCCGCGGCACCCACCTCGTTGATGAAGTCGCCGATGTCCCCCGGGTGGGGCACCACAGGCCTGACCGGGTACTGGGGCTCGGCGCCCACGGGCCGCTCGTCCACCCGCCGCACCCCGGGGGCCTTGCTCAGCACGTGCTCCATGGCCTCCGGCTGCTGCAGCTGGCTGAGGTCGTAGTCCTGCGGAGGGGCCGCGCAGAGTCAGGCAGGTGGTTGGGACGAGGATGGCAGCAGAGACACCAGAAAAGCCTCAGGGCGCATCCTCGTCCTGCTCTGTGGCTGGGCTCTGAGCACGTGCCCTGTCCTATTCCGTCTCCTGGTCCCGGAGTGCGCCCCCGTCCTCTTCTGTCCCCTCACTGCCCTTCCTGAATCACTCCCCTGGCCTCCTTTCATCCTCAAGGCACCTGTGAGGTCTGTGCCCTGGGCTGCCTGACCCCAGGCGGCCCCAGGGCCCACTGCCTGTTCCAAGTTTGTTCCTGGGAACAGCTGGACCTGGGCTGCTGCTGCCCCACTTCACCGTTGGAGGGGGTGGTGACTGAGCTCTAAGGGGAGGAGGACTTGCTCCGAGTGCACAGTGACCAGTGGCGGACGCAGAACCACCCAGGCAGCTCCTCCAAGTCCACCCTCCTGGGAGCCCGACAGCCCCCGGC